CGCGGACGCCGCCGCGGACCCCGACGCCGCGCCGCCCGCCGTCGTCGCCGCCGCCATCTCAGCCTGCGAACCCAAGGGTCTCTTAGAAGGGCGTTCATGAAGAAAAAGTACACTCAACACTCAAACACATTATTCATAATATTCGCAAAAAATCCAAATATTCCAAAAGCAATTCCTTAGATCTATCACTAACACTCTATGGTTCACTTCCAATAATCAGCTGTATAGGGGAAATTTCTCTCATTTCCCTCCTCCTGGATCCGCGTATAAACAGCACATACTTTCTCATATTATTTCAAACTTTTGCAATTTTAGAAGTTCAACGAAAATTAAACTTGCATCATTCTTTTAAACGTTCATTGATCTGTCAGTGGAAAATATTTAGAGAAAAAATGTTGAGCGGTATTTGAGAAAACATTTTTATAAAATTTCCATTAGCATCATGCATTACATGAAAACTACTGGTCTATTTTCGAATATTTGTTCATGCACTTTTTAATGATCTACTTTTAGTACATATTTTCTTTAAGACAAGAATTCTCTATCTTCAATATTGTAGTTTTGGAATGTTAACGTTTTGCATTTTTTTGCAATTTTTGACAATACTCAGAGTTTGCCCAAAATGAGAGTAGCACAGTTTTTCACCGTTCTTTGATACATACGAGGAGAAAAGTGAAAGAAAAAATGCGTCTTTTTTAGAAATTAATTCTTTCAAATATTTTATAAACTGTCCATATTTAACGCAAAATTGGGCGAAAATTCCTCATATTTTTGAAAAGTTGAACATGATCTTATTTCGAGGTTCGTCTTTGAACAACGCATTTAATTAAGAAAACATATCTTCCATATTGTAGTCGTAAGCAGACAGAAAAAGTTTGAACATTTGAAGTTTTCGAAATATTACGGCTTTCAATGAAAATAAGATTGTACCATTCTCTACGCTATCCGGGGACAAAGTTTAATAAACGAATTTGAAGCTATTATAAAGCGCCCCACCCTTAAAAATATTGCTTTCAAAGTCGCAAGGCCTTGAGTTTCTTTACTTCGATCGAGGAATAGCAAATCTTCTGAACGATTGAAGCAAATCTTCTGAACGATTTAGGTGCTAGCGTTGACCACAGACGGACAGAGAGACGTTTTGTCTTCAATCGATTTTTCGGTATCAAGGATCCACAAACCTTGGCTCTGACTGCAAAACGTGTTAGGGGAAGTAATTTTCTATACATAGGAACGAGATTTTCGTAACCAGGGCCCGACAACAGCAGACCTAATGGCCTGAGTCTCGCCACGTAAAATAAGGCATTCAATTCAAATTCAAATTCAATACAACATGAGTTTTTCTGTCGAAAATTCACCGTTTCCGACGCACGATTTCAATTATTTTCCTTCTTACGCAGTAAATAAGTACCACTGAGTAAAGAAAAAATGTAAAACTAGATATAATAGACAGGACTGAGAGTGCCTAGAATTAAAAAATAATATAATGTAATTATGTATGACGTTTGGTTTCTTTCATTAATCCTACTTTATTAATCCTGCCGAGAATTTCGCAGCACTCAGGGGCAATTTTGCGGCGTGGAATGCTCTGTGCTGTCGGTGGCTGGTGGGCGCAGCGAGAGAGCCCTTGTGACCGGGCGATTACGAGCGGCCGCTGCGAGTCAGTTGGAGCGCCCTCCGGGGCCGCCCCGGGGCATTAGGGCGGCCTGGAACGAACGCCGCCGCCGCCGCCGCCTTTGATGCCTCGCCCCCTCCCCTGCCCCCCTCGAGCGCTCGGGGGCGGCGCCGTGCCGGGCAGTGGGCCGGGATGAGGCACAGCGGGGATCGATAACTCAATGACTTTAAGGACGGACCATTTCGATAGTGTTGCAAAACGTGTATGCTCAGTGGTTGCTGATTATTTCGTGTTTCCGGGTGCGTCAACTGCCGTGGTCATTACACCTGTAAGTGGAGTGCATGCTACATCTCGAGAGGTTGTGGTCTTCCTCACAAGAATGAGAGATCCGATTCCGACCTCTACGTCAGCTTGCGGGAGGTTCCCCTTCCCGGTATTTTCGGTGACGGGCACTGCCCCAGCAGGGACAAGCTCTAAGCTATGGCCTCGTCTCCCGGCATATGTGGCTGTATAGTGCATGTCTGTGTAACTGTGCGAGTGTGTAAGAGGAAAGAATGTGGAAGGAAAAGGGCCAAGGCCCATTTGTTATCATACTATTCCTGCTTTCTCCTGGCATTGATTTGTCAAGCTGATGCTCCTGTATTCGCCTGGTATTGATCGAGGAAACACCCGATCAGAATTCTTCGCAAAAATTCTCCTCCAGATAGTGTTTGAATTCCAACTAGTTATCTAGCAAGAGTATAAAATCCGCAATCGTTAAGACTCTACCAAAAGTTTTCAGCTTTACACAGAAGCCGATGACTCATATTCACAACAACATTTACTAAACTTCTATAGTAATGACAGTCATTCAGTATCTCAACTGAAAACGTAAAAAAAAATCTGCCAAAAATTTAAAAGGAAATAGCTTTCATAAAATATTATTTTTCAGAAAATATCAAATTGGCTGGAACCCCCCCCCCTCCCCCGAATAATCCTCGTTGCGCCACCGGGTGTGCTCATAATTTGGCGAGTAATTGTATTCGAATATGTGAAACCTTCCGTATGTAAAAGAGAGAATTCAAAACGATAATTATAAAAACTTAATTTCATTTGAACAATTTTGTTGAATGTTTCATTTTTCTGCATTCAAGTTCGAGTATTAAAATAAAATGAATATAAGATATACATTTATGAAGACGTTTATAAGATATTTGTAAGACGTTTATAAGATATTTATTTATTTAAAATAAAATTAGTCATAAATATGACGTATGGCGAATAATAAAGAAAAATGCGACAAAACTATAAAAATGTCAGAATGTGCATTTTTTGAACATAGCAGTTCCTAGAACACATTATCTCTTCTGGAAAATTTTGATATTGTTTTGTGCTTAAACTCTCAACTTTACATGAGTAAGAAAATTAGTTTAATTATAACTTGAAGACTATTATCTTTACTATTATCCAAGACATAAATCTCTCTCTGAAAGGAGAATGTTAATTGCTTGCGAAGACAAATCCAGGTTTGTTCTGGAGAGGATGGGGGAGGGGAACAGGTTTAGTGTCCAGCCGACTTAATATTTTCTTATATATTTTTTCAATTTGTTGACGTAGAGTTAATAATTAAAACGTTAACAATTGGTGAATTGAATAACATTCGTTATTAAAGAAAATGAGTAAAAGCTGGATTTTTGAAAATGTATCATTGGCTTCTGGAGAGGAGCTGAAGCCCTCCCCCCTTTGTGTGCGCCCCTACTTGAATTACTACAGTACCGCCAGCGTGTAAGCGACTGTGACTGTTCTCTCACCGCGTGCTATGGAATGTCATGTGCTATGGAATGTCATGTGACCAGCTCTGAAGCAATCAGCTTGCGACGATTTGTTTACTTTCTCACAGCCAGGGTTCGGCGTTGCTGCTCGTCTACCTTACACGAAGTTGGGGAGGCAATAAGATTCGGCAGTGGCGAGGGTTATGAAAAGATATCAAGCCTGTGGTCACTTGACAGTAAGTGTTAATGTCTTGAGATTTAATTCATCTGTCATGTAGATGGTGCCATGAGTGTAGTAATGTGTGGCAACAGCGCATCGAGCTGTCAGAGTTGCTTATACGCTGCCTGTACTGTAGTTGCTGCGTCGAGTTTGTAATCTTGCAAAACATCATTGTATTTGTTACGTATGTATAGTTAATAGAAACCATAAGAAAGTGCAACATTTAGATGCAAATATTCATGGTTCGATCACAAATCAATGAATACTTGAAGTTAAGTTTAGTACATTAATCATTTTCATTTCATCCTGCAGTCAAGGTTATTGACTTCTTTCCGCTTTTTGTTTCGTTTGGACCACATCAGGCCGTGCGGGAGCAGCGTGTGCCTGCGTCAGGGGAAGAGGAGTCGTCTCGAAACGTTAACTCTTATGAAAGGGCTATCGAGAACGAAAACTGCCATTTCCCGGCGAGAGGCCCCCGAATTGCGAAGTTTTCTGCGCATCAAGATCAGCTGAGTTTCGCTCGAGAGGGCAGGGATTAGGAGAGCGAAAGCTGTTGAGGAGATGGCTCAAAGTTACTCTGAGTTTCCAGTCTGAAACTATAGGGATGCATAATTTCATAGTTTGTGTCCGTGAAGTTAAACACACACATGTTAGTCCCTTCGTTTTCTTTCCTATAATTTTCAACTTCGACGGTAGCATCGTCATGATCATTCAAAATATTCTAAAAATTGTTAACGTGATATCAGAAGTTTATAACTGTTGACGAGTGGTGCTAAAACAGCACTTACATTCTCGCCCGTATTTTCACGCAAAATTACGCGAAAAGTATACATTTTCGAAAAATTGTACATGATTTTATTTCAAAATCTTTCATTAAGGAATTAAGAGAAAATATCTATCTTTTATATTTTAGATGTAGAGAAAATTTTGTGATTTTGCATTTTCCGAAAAATCATGGTTTTCAACAAACATGACACCTGCACCATTATCTTTAACGTCCTTCACACTATAGAACACAAAATTTACTTAAAAACTATGTACGATGTTTTTTTGAAAAATTGGAAAATATCGTAGGAGCTTCATTCAAAGAACCTCTCAAAATTAAAAACTCAATTTCAAATTCAAAAGGTCGCGATGTTGGCCAGATCGATTAGAAAATATCAATTTTGGAGAAAATCGACTGAACGGTTTAGCCGCTAGCTTTGTTCACACCCGACAGACGGTTGATCAGACAGAAGTTTTGTGGTCATTCGATTTTTCGGTATGAAATACCCACCAAACATGTATTCTGGCTACACCACGTGATAGAGAAAAAAAATTGTTACCGGGGCCCTGTAATAAGGGTTTTCTGCCGAAAATTCGCCGTTTTTCGCGCAGCATTATATAACCTACTCTCTACTCCGTGGCGAGAAATTAAAAATGAAATCGAGTGAATAAATGTAGATAAAATCGCAATAAGCTTAATAGATATTGGTTACATATTTTATTTAAGAACAAATGTGAGCTATTAAATTTGAAAATAATTATAATTGCACAAAAATAATATGTTGATCTGAATGTCATGTATCCCAGCTGCAGGAAAATGTCAAGTATGAGTGTTTTTATTGTTTCCTGTTGGACTCTCTGTAAGGATACTGTAAATGCTTAAAATAGTTAATATTAATAAACATCAAGGTTATGTAATTTAATTAATTCATATCATTATGAAAAATGTTGAGTAGCTTTGTTTATAAAATTTGCTAATTTATATTATAGTACACACGCACGAACTGGATGTAGGGGACAGAGAAGAAATCGCACTAGAAAATGTTGAGTTATCTAGCTCTTCCAAGGGATATACCATTTCAAGTCTATACTATACTACATTAAAATATTTTTTTTACAAATAGATACCATAAAAAGTATTAAAATCTTTCTTAATTCTTAGAGATAGGTTCGCCTTCGAACGCTTATCGGATATAAAAAAACAAGACCGCCGCCTTTTGCTGTGGGACATATTAGGAACATATTGTGGAACATATTGCAATCTTATTTTAGTATCTGTTGATGCAGAAAAGAGTTATGCCTCCGGAGAGACATTGAAAAATGTCGAAATAATTCTTCAAGAAATGACATTGCAATCTGTGTCCCCGCAAAAAGAACCGCAAGTACATATAATGTTCAAAATGTATCTATATTTTTACCGTAACTCTAAAACTACATGTGGTTAAATACTTATGTTATTAATTATTAAATATATATAAAATTAAACCTCAATTGTATTGCAATTTATTCTGGGGCCCAACGTTGGCACTACTGCTTCGGTGTTCTGCGGGCATCCGAATGGCATTGGTCTGCGAGAGCATTGCATCCCAGCCAGCGCGTTCACTCTTCGGGCGGAGTGTGGGCGATGGGGCGGAGGAATTACGTGAGCGCGCGCGATCTCGCGTGTGCCAACGCGCGTCACAACTGCGACAGAGAGCTCCGATGAAAGAGTTCAAAAACCCCTTGCGCCGGCACGTTCGCACTGACAGCATCTCTCTGCGCCCGGTCACGCGGTTTGCGACAACGAGGAAAGAATGAACTTGAAATAAATTATTAATTTATTTGCTGCATTGCATTTAATTGCACTAATTAAGAGGTACTGCCTTGAATATATTCAAAGATGTTTTGCCAAATCTAAGCTTCGTTTCAGACTATTCAATTTACTCTCACATGCGTGTTTTGCGAATTTTTACTAGAATTTGAAATAAAAGGGGTTTTGAATGTGAAGAATTTGATGAGACATTCCATCTCATGATACACTTTGCTTTCATTTTCTTCTTGAAAAGTATCAGTATTTTTTTCTATTCTATCGAATAAAAACAAAAGTTGAAATTAAAATAGACAGTTAGGTACTGTTTGATAATTTTTATTTTTCTTTCTAAGATTGACAGAGTTCGTTATTCGAAATGCTTTTCATTCCATTTCGCTCCCGTGTGTGTTGATTAATATGCTTGGATATGAAGTTTGTTGTGGATATCAAGAACTAATCAAATACAAATGATTATTTAACGATATAATTTAGTAATATAGTTTTAATGAGTAAACAGTTTGATCTAATTCATATTTGCGATGATAATTTAAATGCGTACAGTTAAGTATTGGTGCCTGAAACAGTGTAAAAGATATTTTTCGAAATTGTGCGAGTATTGTAACAGACAATTTCATTTTGTACATGTTAGTCAATATTGCTCCGTCGATTTCCGTTCATTTGTCTTCGAAAGCGCGATGGTACGTACTGCTTCCCAACAGCTACTAGTACTGTTATTCGAATGAGGGTAGAGAGCAGTGCCTGTTCAATGGTAGGTTGAGTGTCCGTAAACTTCTTGAGCGTTATTTTCTCAGATGAAATACAGCGCACGTTTCATTGTTTTCTATCATTTCTTCAGTTAAGAGATGCAAATGTTAGTGAAGTTAAACACACGTTCTAAACTAAACTGATTGATTTGATTCAGAGGCAATATGGATTCGTTATTGGTGTATCTTCTGAACGCGGAAAACTGTATTTTCTTGATGACACTTAAGCAATTTTGTTTTTAGGCTTTGTCATTTATTTCAATAAAAATTGAAACTTTTGAAAAAGGATAATAAGTAACTATTCTAAAAAAGTGGTAAATTTATTTCTAAAATATTGCAATATCGTATTTTGACACAATGAATACATTTATGAGTAGAATGTTAAAAAATCCATGAGATGGAAATCACCGCAAATGTCCAGCTCTGTTCTAATATGATCGACAGCGGGATTGACCATTTCTTCCAATTCTGTTGCTTCTGACAGTATGTGAATATGCTTTGAGTGATCGTTTTTCTTTCTTTGCGACGAAAACATTTTATTTCAATGTCCTAAGTGTTCATATTTTGAACACTGCCAAAGATTTGACCAATTTCGTTTTCGGTCAATTTCATTTGAAGGTTACGATGTCATATTGCATATTGATTTGAATTGTAAATTATTCGTGCGATGAATATGATGTCAGCACGGAAATATTCACACGTTTATTAGAAAGATGCTGAGGACGCAACGTAGTACTTCAAAGGCAATTTCCCAAAACATGTTAGAACTCCCCGCCCTTTGTAGAAAGAAAGAAAGGAGCCCTGCGACGAATGTTACTCAACAAGCCTACCGCTTGCTCTTCGACGAGGGAGCGAGCCTGTTGGGACGACAGACGAAGCCTCTTTGCGGCCATTGGCGCGTCTACCTGCACGTAAAAAGAGTCCGAAGGGCGCCGAGTGGGAGAAACAACTTGCGAGAACGACCTCACCTTTCGCGAGGCCTCCGGAGGATCGATCACGAAGGCAAAACGGGCAGCCGCGCCTCCGCCATTCATGGTTATGGGTGGCACATTCAAAGCCCTCTCCTCCCACCCTGCCCCGCCAAGCCACCCTCCACTCTGACTGGCCTGGCGCTTTACGACCTTGCTAGGTTCCAGGTCACCGCGCTTGCTGTTCATGCGCCGCCCGCCGCCTCCGTCCCGCCCCAGCCCGCTCCCCGTCGCCCCGC